GGTAAAATTTCAATGAGAAGTTCAAAGGCTCCTGTACGCAGCATAGGATGATGCAAAGCGGCAGATGCATGTCACAAATAATTCATTAAGCTCATCTTATGTAACCCACCATTGGAGAGAAAAATAGACCTCCACTTCCTGTTACTCAATTGAGGTTAATGAAAGTGTTCACCTTCTTACAGACCCCTGACACTGCAGAACACAGGTAGAAATCTTAATCACTTTGACACTGTCCTACCTGAAAAATTTTTTTTACAAACGGCAAAGCAGAGCAACACTTTTATCCCAGTGATTTGCATACTATATTTGTAAGCAGACCTTTATACTTTCCCTTTACCTGTAGATGCAATTTACAGGCTGGTGCATGACAAGCCAATTTGGTTTCTGCTAGGCTTTTCTGCAATTTGTTTATAATCCAGTCTGGCTGGAGCAGCACATTACTTGCTTTTCCCATGTTTTATTTTTCTCTTAATTAATTGATTTTTTAAAAATGTTATTTATACTGTGAATTAAACATGTGAGTCACTTTCCATGCACAAATACATTAATATGGCTCACATTTTACCACTCTTAAAGCATTACAGGCATAAATGTTGTCTTTTTTCCCCCTGATAGAATGATTAATTATGTTGGATTTACTAATAATAAATAAGCTAGCTAGTTTTAAACGCATCAGATTTCCATATTTTAGCTTTATGATCACTAGCTATGTTTCCATCCAAAGATTTTGAATTTTAAATGAACAAAATCGGAATGTCACATTCAATATTTATGAATATTTTTCCAGAGTTTACAAAAACGTAACTTCCTGGGAAATTTCCGCAAAATATCTATCATATAAATTAAAAGTTTTTGTAATCGGGGAACTGTGGTTCTAAATAACTGAAATATCTGGGTTTTTAACAGTGTTGTGCAAGTTACTTCCAAACTGTAATACATTAGGTACTGTTATTTACTGTTATTTAAAAGTAATTCATTACCTTACAATATTACTGTCTCAGAATTGTAACGCGTTACATTACTCATGTATTACTTTTGAGTTACTTTCACCAAAATAACTAAGTAGAACTTAACTTTTGGGCTGTAACGATATGCAATATGAAACCGAAATCGCGATTCGCCACACGACTCAGATCCACGAACCTACAGAATCGCGACACACCTCTTCCAACTCCAGCGCTATTCTCCTTACCGTCCAGATCCAATGCTGCCTTATCTTTAAATTAGGCTATTAGTATTATTTGAAGTTAACATTATAAAATACGTAGACCTACACCACAAAACTAGTTGAGGATAAATTATTTAAAATTGGGGAAGTCCAGCATTATGGACATGACATTTGCAGTCAAAACTTGAAATAAAAATTCTCAGAAAATACATATATTGAAACATACTGTATATAGGCTACTTCCTTAAAGGACTCCAGGCATTAGACAAATATCAGTCAATGTTTTATTTTTCATATTAGGGAAAAGACACACATTTGTAATTCTGTTAATTACACTGCGCAAATCAGATGAGGAAGGGTTCGCTCTCCAGTCCCCATGAAACTTAAAATATTCATTTTATTTTAGTTTTCGTGTTCGCATTTATGAGGAAAAAACAATGTTACAGACGCGACCGCTCTGAACTGGCACTAAAAGATTGCTTTAAAACTTTCACATAGTCTGTTGCCTTTAAGAAGTAAAAGCAGACAATACACTGTAATACAACTGTAATACAAGCCTCACTGAACATGTAACGAGTAAAATATTACTGAAAATTGATTAGTAATGCCTTACACTATTGTGTTACAGCAAAAAATAATATGTTACTGTAATGTATTACTTTTGTAATGCGTTACTCCCAACACTGGTTTTTAAATAACTGCTAACATTCAGTTCACAGTTAACTGCTAAAATTCTGTCACAGTTCTGGACTTTTGATTTGATTTTAATTGTGTTCAGTTCCTGTTGTGTCTGCCTCTAAACCAGCTATACTCACCCTAACAGAACCCAGTGCCTAGTCAGACACCCATGCCGCACATAGAGAATAAGCCAGAGCCCACCACAGCTTTTGCCTGCCATGATGCACAAGCCAGAGATGAAGAATGAGCCAGCCATCGCCAGGGAGCCTGAGCCCCAAATAGGAGTCTGACCTGGTGTGTGAGTGGAGCTGGACACTGAGAAGTGATTGACTGGGAAACAGAGGAAATGCTCCCTCAAAGCCAATTTCTGGTGTCCGATATTATTCTCTGTCCATAAAATTATGTTTGATTGAAAGGTGAGACTAACGAAGTTGACAGATGTCGGTCAAGGATATCACCGAAGACAAAAACTATAATAGATAAACTGTCACCTCCAGAGTCCAATATTAAAGCCCAAATCACACTGTGAAACATGGAGCATAAGTTAAAATCAGAAAACATATATAAAAAAACATATATGTCCAAATCTCCAAAGTTGCAAATTTAGACCTGCACTCTCAAGGGAGTACCAATCACTTTAGGGACATGGCCATGTCTAGGTTTGAGGATGACTTTAGAGTCATTCGGTGCATATGTAAACGTCATCAATGAAAAGCACTCTCTATTCTGTTGTCTGTTTTCATTTTCCCTTAGTTGTAAACAGAGTTTCAGATAATCCAGTTGTCACTAGCTCCCTTAAAATTTGGGTTACCAATTTAGGAAACATTACAGTTTACACAGAGGCTCCACTTATATGCCCATCCTCGATTATTATTATTTTCCCCTAGTTCAGACCCTGCATTTCACCGGTGGTCATCAAATGGCCCTCTTCCATATGTGCCATGTAAAATTCTATTCCGAGCGCACTTAACCAATGCCAAATTGGCAAAAATGTTTCCAGACAAGATTGCTGCCTGTAATCATTGTAAACATTCACCTACCATATACACATGTTTTGGACTTGCCCGCAGCTGGTAACCTTTAAGACTAATGTATTTCATAATATATTTATGTTTCCTTAGTTTTTGGATTGATTAACAGACACTATCTTACTGTCTACTGTTTATGATGTCTTATTTTGTACTGTCACTGAAAACCAATTAAGAAGATTTGGAGTTAATAAATGCAGGCTTGAAGCACATAAGATTTCTTTACAAAATATAAGCAATAGTAATGTGTCCAAATTCTTCACTGCACTATTAGGCCTACTACTAATGAATAATTATCAAAAATGTTAATATAATAAAGTTCTTTCACGTCACCATTTCAGCCTATCTTCATTCATTGAACACTATGATAGTTTTCAGATGGTAAACGGTGTCTCAAAATACATAGGCTAAACACAAGTGACTTGAATACTTCTCACCAATAATGCAAATTTTGGTGCTGGATTTGTGCAGTGCGTTGTTGTCAGTTAACATCCATTGTTTCAACAACACAGATTCAGATGCTTTATACATGTAAATTGGTCTAAAAAAGTTTAAAACTGGATTGGTTTATTTTTTCCTGCCGTTGAGCCATGACTACTCACTGAAAGAGCTATGTTTGGCTTGAGAGCATCGGTTCCTGAGCAGACTGTGGAATACCTACGTTTACACAAGTGCATTTTCTTTTTAAAACACAAAACTTTTGCTAGGCTGCTCCGGAATTTAGACCCTTCAAAAACAGAGACTGGCCCCAGTTTTCTTTTATTGACCACAATATTATCATTGATATTTGCTTGCACTTTAGATTAGTTTTGAAAAAGGGCAGGTGCTCTAGCACCCAAACTTTAAAAACTTTTTTAAACATATTAAAATAGAACACTGTTTCCTGCCAACATTTAAAAGGGCGCCAAGATGAACGCGAGAGTCTTAACTTGGCTCTTCTGCCACTTTGCTCTTGTGTATCGTCCTTATCGCAAGTTTTTTGTTCTGACAGTCTCAAAGGGTTAGTTCACCCTAAAATGAAAATGTTACATTGTAATGTATTTGTGTATTGTGTAAGAATTTGTGCCTCCCTATAATTATTCTATAATATTATATTTTACATGACATGTTTACAGTATTTTTGATCAAATAAATGCAGCCTTGTTGAGCATAAAAAACTTTCAAAATCATTAAAAATATCACCAACCCCACATTTGTAAATGTTAGAGTGCATATCCTAGCCTATACAACTCCACTATCCGAGTTTCCATTCATACAGGTTCTCTCATCTGGACTAAAGATAAACCATGGATTAAAGACCTGCCTAATCAGTTCATTTCTACTTAAACCTTTTTCCCATTTCATGGCTGGTTAGTAAATACAACAAATGAGGATGTGTTTTCAAACAAAAGCATTTTTTGTGTCCCAATGAAAGGTCATTCCAGATGATGTTTTATATGAGTCAAAAAAAAAAAAAAAAACAGCCTCTCAAGGCATTACTGTGCCCATTTCTAAGCATTTCTGGTCCCAAAACAAGCATACAGTTCTTTATCTAGAGGGAACATTAATGTTCCCTAACTATACAACCACACTAAAATGGATAAAAGGGAAGAAGCTTTTCTCTATATATCTGTAATGCAAAAAAACACTAACCTCGGCTTTGCCAGGATAGTGCCCATGCCTTTTAAAGTTATGGCTAATTAAAGGGATTTATGCATTATCAAATAACTCAAATGCCCCATGAAATATATGCAATCATTCACTGCATCTCCTGTGATCAATAAATCATAAATACATTATTATGGATCACATAATAATCAAAGTGTCTCCAGTTTCTTAGATGTTTCTCTTGAGAAAAAAAAAAAAAAAAAAAAAAACACCCATAAATCTTACATGTGCCTCTCATTTCAGAAGAAATTTTAACAATTATCAAACCAAGACTCAAAAGTCTACAAAAAAAGTCAGAGACCTCAGTTTGAACTACTTCATTAGTTAATTTGGGGGGGTGGGGGGGTAATAAAATGCTCAAAAATGGGGGGAAAATAAAATGCTCAAATTAATAAAATGCTCCTCTAAGACCACCTCAACACCTTGATGGTTCTCTTCATCACAGCAATTAATCCACTGGTAAAAATTAAATTGCTTACTCTTGTAAACGGCATTCCAGGGCTGGTAGCCATAATAGCCCGTGATTCTCAAGATCCTCTCCTCGATGGACGCGCTGTTGATGTCCTCAACTGATCGAGATGATTTCAGGTCCTCTTTAATCGATTCATCCACAACCAGGTACTTGAGCTGGCGAAGTTGGGGGCTGATGTCGGACAGCCTTCTGGGACTCACCTCGGGAGATCTACGCATTCCGCTGGAGACAAGAACACAAAGTTGGAATCGCGTTGGCTTCGAGCGCTTGACACCGAGGGTGAGGTGTGCCAGTGAGAGCGTGGCACACAGACAAACCTTCTCATCACATTGGGATTCGATAAGTCCACCTCTTTAAACAGATGATAGAGTGTTTCTCACACAAACATTTCGCGTAAAACGGCTTCAGAGCGCGCAGCCTGTCCGGTGCGTAAAGAGGGTGGATGCGTGAATTTTCACCCTTCACTGGCGCTTCGAGCGGAGGAGGCAGGGCGGCTGAGAGATGATAATAAGCAGATATGACTGCTGCTCCGTGCAGAGTAACTTCCACTAGTACAGTAGGCCACGATTCAAATGGAGAAAACTATAGATAAAAATAGGGTATGCATTTATTTTGTCTCAACTACTGTAGCCTAATTAAAATTGCGTAAGACCGCTTTTTCAGTTATACGCTCAAAACTTAAGGATCGAGTGCGAATTAGCCAGCAAAGGGTTAAAGGGATGTTTGAGGGTTAAATAAATAAACAAATACATTTTAGGTAGCCTAGAGTATATTAGAAATAATACTAGCTACTGAAAATAACAGTGATAATGTAAATCTGTCAACAAAACTATAGGCGAGTATATCATACGATACGGTAATGTTACGTGTAGTTGAAAAATTAAAACAATTAATGTAAAATGTTGAATACATACATGGATATAGATAAACATGCATGGCTATGCAGCTGATCACTATGTTAAAATGAGGCTGGCAGTTACATTCGTAAAACAGATACGAACTAACTGAATTTGTATTACAATGTTTTACGAAATAAATAGCCTAAATATCAGAATTTGACAGCTTATGACAGTTATCTTATGTTACGGTAGGCCTATATATGGCCACCGGGAGGCGTGCGCGATTCCGCTTTACGCACTAAAGACACTGACGCTCCTTTCACATATGGAACAATTAACAACACTGCTGGTACGTCATACTGCTCGTTGATAATCTATCTTAAATTTAAATTCTTAAATTTATATATACTGAGTCCTTTGAAAGTGTTTTTTTTTTTCAAACGCGTTTGGCGTTACATTTAGTCTCCAGTGAATAGCACAGTAAGCTATGTTTGATGTCTAGATAGACTAAATAAAACGGCATTAACTTTTAAGACAGATTAATAACAATGAACTGTAACGTCTAATAAATAGGTATTCTTAAGAATACCCAGATGCGCATGAGACGCGTATCGCCATTTAGACTTGTGCGTAATGAACTCAGTAGTTAGTTTTGTATTATTGTCATCACTGAGGCGTATACTCTAACTGGGCTTTATTTTTTTTCTCACTCCCTGAACAGAAAACAGCTACTGATGCTGAGTAAAGCTGCATCTCAACACAATACATATCATGCATAGGTGCTTTGTAAAATTCTTACATGGGTATCAGGGTGGTCGGGGGTCCCAGGTAGCACATGCAGTCCCTCCGGGGAGGTCCGAGCCTGTCTCCATCTCCATACATGATCCCCATGAATGACAGTAGATCTGCTCACACGCACAGAGACACACGGACTGGAATAGTCCGCCCACCACTCTTACACACTCCAGCCTTAGCATTTACAGACTTTCAGATAGTATCAACTCACGCCTTCAACGGTTTTTCAGAACCACAGCGCCATCTGACGGCGAATGCCGTTTCGTGCTGCATGTCTTACTTAAATTATTTCCAATATATCACTGTATAATAGATTTAGATAAGCATACCAATAATACCATACTCCATATACTGTACCCGCAAAGTTCTAGGAACGTTCTATTTAGGTTTTATTTTGTACAACAATAAAATAAAGTAACTACAACATCCCTTAAGGAAACAAACCATAGTTTTATTATAGTAAAAGTGTATTACCCGAATGATTATGGTTAATTTGTGGTTATCATGTTTTAACTACAATAACCGTGGCTTTTTGGTTTTATTTATAGTAAAACCAGGGTTAATATTTACAAGGGATTCTGGGAACCAATATTTGTTAGCAGGGTGTTTTTTCATCTTTTAGATAATTGATGTTTAACTACCCAAATGACTTTTTGCATTACATGAGACAAACTTCTACAGACTGTGCCATGAGAATAACTATAATTCTTCATATTACATTTAATAATGTAAATGATCAAATTTACATTATTAATGTAAACTCCCCTCAAAAATGCAGAGGAAAAAAGATTTCTAAAAAGTCTCCAAACAAAATATCAGCAGCAGAAACAAAACAATTTATCATATTAAATTGGCCTGTGCTGGTTTCTGTGAATCCTTCCATTATTTTTCCACTGAGCAGTTTACACACACACACACACACAACCAAATATGTCCTTATTATAACGTACAATAACTCTTCAGTAGCTAAAAATAGATGACATCTTAAGAACTTGCAATTTATCCTGCTCATGTGTGTTTTTCAGCCAGAAAAACACAGTGTCCTCCTTATTGTATCAAATCAAATTGTAATAACAGATAAAATAAAGTTGAAAAGATTGATTCAAATGTGATAAAAACCTTGGTTTTCCACGTTCTCCCTCTAATACAATTTCACTGAATAAAATAGATATAGTTGGTATTTTTAGAAAGGAAAAGATCTAGTTTTTCAGACCCCAAACAGAGTAGCAAACACTTTACCAAATGAGTCTATAGCACCTCATCTGTTGAAGCTGGTTAGAATGATGACTTTTTGAGAAGGTAGGATGAGATTTTCTTACTTTCTCCCACAGAAAGCCACCCACATGACTGCATGGCATGCAATCTACAGTATGTCACACACAGTTTTTATGGTGATTAGACCAGTTAGAATCAAAACTGACGGAGTGCATCCTGTTTTAGTATAGCTTTTGTCTGGTTACTATTTCTAAATTGGTCTAAAGCATGCTTGTTGACTGCATATTATATTGTCTAGTTTACCAAGAAGAACATCTCATTCAGGTTAGAATGTAGGATGACAAATTAACTCATTAATGGGGGAAACAATACATTGCATGTCTTTGTGCCTTCAACATCAAGTTATTTGACTATCGTGGCCCACGACTATTCGTGGGTGCAAGGGTACGTGGTTATATGATGATGCCTCAGGTTGAAGAGATGCTCATGGACTATCTCTCCCCTGGGAGCTCATCGTCAGTAAAAAAAAGCCTACGCTGTGGGGAAAGTCTCTCAATCAGCAGGTTGAATGTTCAGTTGCGTCCGATTTAGATCTCTGCGGTCTGAACCGTTTCCCCAGAACTTACAAGTTCAAGATGCTAACGATCAAGATGATTGTGTCTCAGATCCAACACAAAGATTGGTTTGTCACAGTCGATCTCAAGGGTGCATATTTTAATATAGAAATTCTGACATACACAGGAAATCTCTGAGGTTTGCTTCTGGGGGTGAAGCTTAACAAATACCAAACCTCGTTGACCGACCAGAATTTGGTTCTCAGAGATAATATCACTCCTTGGCTGCGCGATTCCGATCATGAAGGACTTTCTGTCTCAGGCGCAGGGGACACTATTTCATCCCCGGCCTGAGCTTTGGAACCTTCTCGTTTGTCCCCTGAGGGGGACCAACTAAGAGATGCTGGGCTTCCAGCTGGTGTCGAACAGACTATTTTGAGTGCCACGGCTCCCTCCACAAGAAGACTCTTTGCATTTAAATGGGGTTGTCTTCGAAGGTGGTGTAAAGCACGCCTTGCAGACCTAGCTCAGTGTCAGATTGTTTCAATGCTGGAGTTTCTGCAGGAAAACTTATCAACAGGCACATGTCCAGCTACTCTTTTAGGGTATTTGTGGCCACCATATCAGCTTGCCATGCCCTGATTGACAGGACATCAGTGGGGAAGAACCCTCTGATCGCTAGGCCTCCCGTCAGAGTGAAGATCCCGCATAGTCCCTGTTAAGCCACTAGAGTCAGTGCCTGCAAGCTTCTGTCTCTAAAGATGTTTTTACTTATGGCGATTACTTCGTTAAAAAGAAACAAAGGATTGGTCAAAGAAATTTTGCACCCTCATTCTGACTTTCCTAAAGTTCCATTCTCGAACGTGTATCTGGTCATTCTGGAGCACTTCTGTCCAGATTGTGCTCTTCAGACCTAAGTCCAGCGCACTAGCCATTGGCGTTAGTCAGACTAAATTTGAATTTGCTACGGGGGCTGCAACCAGGAGGCAACTGCCACCAAGCAAACAATGTCACATTGGGTAAGGGAAACCATTACCCTAGCCTATGAGGTGCGCGGTCAAGCTTTGCCTGTAGGAGTTAGGGATTTTGTTAAGGCAGGAGGTCAAATTTTGAGCTAAAACTTCACATAAAAACTCAGATAGATCAGAGACTTCTTTTCCTTCTCTTAAAAAGGGGGCATAATATGTCCCATTTAATAAGTGATTAGACTATTTTAAAATGTGCATATAGTATTATGAATTGAGCACATGCATAATAAATGGAAAGCCCACAAGTAAATTAAGAAATTATATAACTAATGCTCTTCATTATTGATGGTACGATAAATAAACAGAACCTCAGCAAAGGCAGTAAAGGCTAAACAGAATCTGAGTAAAGGCTCTTTCACCCTAAACCTGACACGATAAAGCTAGGTGAATTTCAGACGTTTTCACACTGAACGCGAAACGATTGACTGCCTTCAGCTAATTCACCCCTGCACCAGTGCATACGATTTTATATTTTAGATGGTCATGGTACTCCGGGATCACATGTAGGAGTACTCAAGGAGTAGACATCGCAAGTTCATGTCTGAGATCTCTTCAATGTTTGTGCGCACATCACACTACGAAACATTGAGGGGTCCAGACACTTCCCTGTGTGCTGGGGTTGGTTTTCTCGTTGCCATTGCATACACAGCATCGAGAGTAGCTTTTGAAAGGGAACGTCTCAGGTTACTCTACCCTGTTCCCTACATATTCTTTATAACCATTCGAAAGGGACATGTAACCATGGTTCCCTGAGAAGGGGAACAAGACACTGTGTCCTCTAGAGCAGTGGTTCCCAAACCTGTCCTGAAGGCACCCCAACACTGCACTTTTTCTTTATCTCCCTAATCAAACACACCTGATTCAACTCATCAGCTCATTATCACATGGGTTAATGAGCTGATGAGTTGAATCAGGTGTGTTTGATTAGGCCGGGTAAAAAATATATAGATTTCTCTATTTAAAATGTTGTGACTTTTGATTTGAAACAAGGTCTCGGATTTCAAATTAAGTCCATTTTATTATGAAATTCCAAAAATAAAATACAGTTTTCCACTGTTTATTGTGGCGTGACAGTTCGCTGTAGTGTCTCAGTAGAGAAGCAGCAGTGCGAAGCGTACATGAACTAAACATCTTCTCCACTTAAATACCAATTACAGCTTGAAATAAACATGAGCATCTGAAGATACGTTAAAAACATAAAGAACATCTTACCAAACATTAGTTTAAAAAACATTTTTTTTTCCTTGAGAATATTTGCCATGTACTGTACCTGATATACATCCAAAATAATCCATTTCGAATTGAATCAAAATTGAATCGAATCAAAATGGCAAGCCTGTGACGCGAATCATGAAATTTGTGCCAATATACCCAGCCCTAACTTATATCATTCATATTTAATCAAGACATGCTGTGTTTTCACAGCAGAACCTTTATAACCCCATGGCCATGTTTTAAGAAATAAATAAATGCTCGACTTTTGGGGCTGTGTTTCCATCCTACATTTCTTGATGTGACTGGTCTGTGTATTTAGGTCACCAGCTTTCCTGTTGCTATGTAACCGAAGATGCTGTCTGCTGGTGGCCTCTCAACAGTCAGTAACTACTGTATATGGTCACACTTCAAAAACAGAATCTGCCACAATCTTTCCTCTTTTAGCTGTGTTTCTCTTTGAAACTATTGCATTTGATAATGTCTGAATGAAGTACATGCAATGTTTCTACACTGTAAATCGAGGTGACCTGCGATGCCAAAGAAAGAGAATCCAGAGCAGCTATAATTTATTGTGACCATCTCAATAGGGTCTTCTCTATGGACGGACAGATTAAAGGAAACCAGGACAGGCAGAATTAGGGGAATCACTATACAAAAAGCAGTACAATGAACTTGACATTGCTGTTTCTCTAAATCGGCAGTATGCATTACTTATATATCTATAGCCTATGCGGTCCAAAAGTATGAGGTTATGGAAGACTTTTGAAATGTAACTATATGCATATTTACATACATATACACTATATATTCGCTATCATAACCGACTTGAGTGGGCAAATGCTCACATTCGATGGCATCGGGCACGGATGAATCCCCGTTTGTGATGGCAACGTTGTGGGTTGCGTGGCCCATGGAGGCGGCTGGGTTATGGTATGGGCATTTTATTGATGGCATTTTGAATGCAAAGAGATACCGTGACATGATCCTGAGGCCCATTGTCAGGGCCGGCGCTAGCCATTTGGGTGCCCTAAGCACAAATGCTTGGTGGTGCCCCCTTAACCACCTCCCTCCCCCCACCCCAACCACCCACTCACCCAAGGAATAACAACCATTCAGAATTTCTTAGTTAGGTTGTCTTTACTTCCAAAATAACTGCTGCAAATAAATACATTTACATTAACAATGGCACCAAATATGAAAAAAAAATAAATAATAAAAAGGTTAAAATTATAAATACCAAAAACCACCACAATTACTAAAAACACATATTTGGAACTGGCTACAACTGCTGGTTGATGGTTCTTCCTCCTGGCCTTGAGTTGCTCCTTGCATGTATTTTAACATTGACCCTGCATTCAGAAATACAAGACAAAATATTCAGGGATTCTACTGAATCAATAACCATCATACAAAAATATTGCATACATTAGTCTTTTATATAATATAGGCATATGTGTTACTGGAACATTTAAAATTCAAAACTCTATTCTACCTTTAAAAGAAGTCTGATGAGGCACAGTATAATAATTCTGTACATAATTTGTAGGGCTGGGAAAAGATGAATCGTGATTAATCGCATCCAAAATAAAAGTTTGTGTCTACATTAATGATATAGGCCTATGTGTGTGTATTGTGTATAATTATTTTGTATATGTATTTAAGAAATATTTGTTATTTATATATAAAATATTTTAATTTATATATATATATATATATATATATAATACAAATTATCTATAAATATATACAGTTATACATGCAAAATATTCTTAAATATATATGTTGCATATGTGTGTATATATATATACAAAATAAT